GGTCTCCAAGATCAATCGGCCCGTGGCTCCGAGCACCAAGGGTCTCCAAGATCAATCGGCCCGTGGCTCCGAGCACCAAGGGTCTCCAAGATCAACGCCTCCAGCCTGTTCTTCACACTCACGCTCATCTGCTCATTGAGCTCAACAAGGAAGCAAAGTTCTGACCGTCAACGCCCCGTGACGAGTGTGACAAGCTCACATACGCAACCCCACACTTAGGGTCCTCAGGATTCCTGGACTTCCACGAGGCTTCCCCCCACTCCAATCTAGACAGAAAAGGATATTGCCCACTCCATGAAGCACCCCCTCCCTTCCCTCGAAAAGAGGCCCAGTGTCACTGGTTCTGAAGGGGTCCATTTCTGCATAAGCAAGTTGAGTTTGTCTTGCAGGTCCTGATCCAAGCCAGCACATGTCTCCTCACAGAGTGGGCAGTGTGGCCACTGGTGGCCTTTCGGACAAAAGTCTCATGAAAGGTGCTTCAAGCACCACATCAGTCAATCGTACTTTGTGTCCAAGTCCATTGGGTGTGCTTCCCTGGTCCCCAGGGTCCTGAAGCTTCCACACGTGGTCAGGGAGTGGTGAGGGCTGTCCGTGAGGGCTGTCCTGGGTGGAAATGTCCCATCTTCAGTTCCAGAGATCGCTCCCAGGGCTGGGGGTTGAGGGGTGCCAACTGCATGCTTAGCTGCCCTGCGACAGCTGAGTGTCACATTTCCGGAAACTAGACCTTTGGAAGGAGTCCCTGCAAAACAAACACACAGGCAGAGGTGAGGGGGGCCTTTTGAGGGGGGGAGAGTGGGGTGCATTCCGCAGAGAAGGTGACAAGAATGGGGCCTAGTATTTAAAAAGACACACGCAGAGGGGAGGGGAGCCCTTTACAGGGGAGAGGGGCACATTCCCTACAGGAGGCGGGGGTGCAGCATCTAAAGAGCGCTTGGCTGATAATGGAGAGAAGTGTGGTTCTGAAGTGTCAGCCGCTCTGTGGGGTGAAGAGGTGATGGTCTGACTTGATTATGACCCTGGAGACCTGAGCGGGCCCTTCTACTCTGTCCTGCAGGGTCGCTACGAGTTGAGAAGAACTGGACAAGGGGATTAGGTGTTTGCTACATGCCCATCAGTCACACCGGACTCAGTGAGGGAGGGAAGGAGGGACGGACGGGCGCTCGAGGCCCAGGGGAAGGGCTGGTAGAAGGCTAGTGTTCAGGGGTCCCCGTGCGGTCAGGGGATCAGGCAGGATGACTGTGCTGTGCTCTGACTTGGGGCCCAGTCCTGCCCAGGAGATCCATGGCTGGCCAGGCCCCACCGCGCATCCTGCTGGGGCCCTGAGCCGGGGCCAGCCCGCACCTCTTGTGACTGTCCACGCGGACCAAGGGCTTGTAGAGCTCGGGGATCTTCCGCTCCAGCATTGGCCGCAGGCTCTCCTTCAGACGGCTGTGGTTCTTCTTCAGTTCCTGCTGGTACTCCCGCTGGTCGGCCCCGATGAGGCGCTTGTTCTTCTCCACGGCCTCCCCGCACCTGGGGTGAGGGGGACACGCTGCCGCCAAGGGGCTCCCAGAGCGTGGACAAGCCGACAGACGCTGTCTGCTCTGGAGCCAGCCCTGGGCTGCTTGGGAGCTCGGGGTGCACACGGAGCTGAGTTGCTAACACACAGGCTGTCACTCCGGTGGTTCGAATCCACCACGACTCCTCAGGAGTCACACGAGAGTCAGACGGGCTCCTGGAGTCAGACCTCCTCTCGTGGGACCTACGGCTTCAGAAACCTAAGTGACCACTCAGTCAGCAGCACAACACACACCATGCCACAGCACACATCACATCACACACCACACAGCACACCACACAACACCCTGACCACGTACCACACACTACACACTACACCACCCACACCCCCACCTCACCCCACATGCCACACCACAGCACACACATCATACCACACATCACATCACACACCACACACACCACACAGCACATCACACCACACACACCACACATCACACCACACCACACACACCACACATCACACCACACCACACAGCACACACACCACAGCACACACCATACCACAGAACACACCACACCACACACCACATCACACCACACACCACACAGCACATCACACCACACA